CCAAATAAAAAAAAAATATGAAAACTGGCAACCTTTTATTTCACTATACAGTACTGCACTTATAAGACAATTATACTGACTTTACAACAAACACTTTGAAGTTCGTACAACATCTAACGGGAGACTTAGAGAAATTCAAAGAAAGATCTGTATATATTTTTGATACACACTACAGTCAGTGGTTTGAAAATAAACATTTCTTAATAATAATGTGTTGACACATTCTTTTATCTAAATGTGAATTCCATGAAGTAATCATACATATTACATTACTTGTAATCCTGAGTCATCAAACAAGTTGTTTGAAGGTTATTACAAAAAGCATCAGCATTAGAGAAATCTGTTCCAATAATTTCTATCTACAATTTGTGTTATTACAAAATGATTGATGTGAAAATGATATTGAGTCATAAATCTTCATATGTCCCATCACCTATACTGTATTAACATTTTGAAAGATTTAAGTTATTTATCATTTTATTGTTTTTTTGCTCACCAATGAAACATTGTATGACTTCATGACAATGGTTCTTGAAACTGAGAACAAAAATACATATACTGTACTGTATACAGTAGTACAGTACAGTAAAACCCCTCATACTTTGTAAGGACTAGAGTTCCTATTATTTCAAATTTTATATATATATACATATATATATATATATATATATATATATATATATATATATATATATATATATATATATATATATATATATATATATATATATATATATATATATATATATATATATACTGTACAGTGATACCCCGATTTACGCGGTCAATTGAACCCACGGGGTACCACGTAAATGGAATAACAGAACATATGGGATTAATTCCAATAAAGACTGGCCCGACCCCCAAACTCCACTTTTTCAGACACAATACCTACGTTGTAGTAAAAATAACATATTAATTTTATGATGTAAGCACACACAATTAATAATTAAGAGAAATATCAATAATATTGGGTTTTTTAACACTTGCATTAGTAGAAAAGATGGCTGGGCACACTGGGATGGGGGGTTGGTTCCGAGGCAGAGGGCAGATTATTGGCCCTCACCTGTATCACTTGTATCAATTGTATCACTATCCACCACAGAGGCTTGCAGGGCCTCTTTGTCAAACCCCTCAAATTCCATATAAGTCCATATCCTCACTATCACTGACTTGGGCCGGCTGTGGTGGGTGGCGGGTAAAGAACTCGGTAATATTTTGATGACTGGGCGACCTTGTGCGCATCCTGCCTGCGCCGCTTCCCACGTATATGAGTAGATGCACCGCGTAAAATGAAATTCCGGTTCTGGCGAGGTACCGCGTAAATGTAGAATCGCGTAAAGCAAAACCGCGTAAATCGATATATGAAACATTACTGTACTGTACTGTACTCTGATAGGCCTATCTCTCATCTATGTTCTTTGCCTTTTCCATGTTTAGTGGAGACACTGAAAAGAAATGAGAGGCAGATTCTCTATTGATACAATGTTTTTAGTTGCACTGGCATTATAGATGTTGGTGTCTCAGTGTAAAAATGCATAATAGCAATGTATTGGCAACATGTACTGCACTTACCTACAGCTTCATGCCCATAGTAAAACACTCATCACTATTTTTGTTAATTTATCTATGTATTCTTGACATTGTTTGTGAATCTCGGCACCATACACATACCATTTAAAAGCTATTTTTATGTAAGACCACACTCTCAGCTCCACACACCATCAAACACTGCAGAATACTGACATAGCAGCAACTTGTAGCTTTATGCCTCATAATAAAACAATATCACAATTTATATTTTATTCGCATATCCTTTTACTTATGGGTGTACCATTATATCTATTACTGTACATACATTTACCATTTAAATGTACTTCGTGTCACTTAACCTTTAGTGGACATATCCTGCAACAGATGCAGGATGGAGGATCACACTGTTCTGGTCATAAGTATCCCACAACTGTTACCACACATTTCTCCTGGGCCCAATCTAAATTTCCCATGATTTCTTCTTAGTGAACATCTTTTTGGAGCATTATGGCACCTACCCAAGGCAGTGTAGACCTCTCACTATTAAAGGCAGTTTCACACCGGATGTGATGCTAGCTACGCTGAGGATGGAAATTACGTGGCTTTGATTTGTTTCTTTTGTTTTTCGATGAAGTTGTTAACACAGGTTGACAATCCTTTATCCGAAATTCCAAAAACTGAAAGTTTTTTGTGTGCCCACCCGGGCATAAATCACTGACTCACATCGGGGCCTGGTGGGCGAAAATGTAATAGTAATAATAATTATAATAATAATAATTATTCATAGTAAATAAAAATTTTAATTAAAATACTGTACACCAAAATAAAATAACAATGATAACAATAATAATAATAATAGTAATAATAAAATATAATTATAAAATTAATAATAATAGTAATAATAACAATAATACTGTAATAAAATAATAATAAAGAAATACAAGAATGAAAAAAAGATCAAAAGTGAGAAATGCGACCTAGACCTATGAATTATTATTACAGTATTATTATTATTATTATTATTATATTTTCGCCACCCCCTCAGGCTCCGATGTGGGTCAGTGATCTATGCCCGGGTGGGCTTATATATATATAAAAAAAAAAAAAAAAAAAACCTAACCTGTTCTGAAAACCGAAAAATTCTGAAATCCGAAATGCCTCTGGCCCCAAGGATTTCGGATAAGGGATTGTCAACCTGTACTGGATGCGATAGTACATATCCGACATCTGTGACGTCAGATATGTACCATCCTAGACTGCCTCCTCCACGATTTTTCCTTGGCATGGCTTCGTTGTGCATGCACACTGGAGCATTTTGGCAGTCTAGGACTGACAGTTGAGTGATGGCAGCTAGTGTCCTGCTTCAAGGTCATTCCCAACCATATTACCATTTACTTTTGTGTATCAGTGCAGGTGGACCATGAAGCAACTTAATGAAGAAGTGAGGAAGCATCCATGCTTATATGACATGATTTCAGATAATTACAGACGTGTTACGAAAGGACAACAGCTGGGAGGAGATACCTAAATCCCATGACTGTGATTGTAAGGACTTTATTGATAAAATACATTTAATTTTCATGTAGTTCCACTTATTTCACTACTTTAATGTTTATTTCTTAGATCTGTGGATCATAATTTATCTGGAAATTATTTACCCCCAGGTTAACATAAACAGATTTATGTAAGCCTATTCCATATAAAACTGAGCGTGGGACAATATGAAATAGTCTAAATCTTTTTTCATCAACTGAAAGCTCCTGCATAAAATGGTTGCACAGTATTTGCCAAAGTTTGGTCTTTTCACATTTATTTCATGTACCCACTTCCTTTTTCTTTTCTTAGACATTCCTAGAGTCAGCAGTAAAACTTCCTCCTCTTCCTCATAAACTACAGTGCATTGCCTTCCATCTTGACTGATGCAACGATACTGAGTGTCTCTCTCGAAACACCTGTACATGGCTTGCATATTATTTGGTGTGAACACTCACATAGTAAGCATTGCTACCGAAAATCCGCAGCGTAACTAGCATGACATCCGGTGTGTAACGGCCTTAATGGATGGGTTATGCTCAAACCAAGACGTACCACATCCACTCATGCACGTTGCCCTACACAGGAGGAAATAGACACCACTATATTTGCTTCTGGAGACAAGGATGACCCTCCCATGCATGAAGATACACTGTATCCTGTTAATTCTGATCGTTAAAATTCGCATTTGAGCTTAATTTGTATGTTCTTTTATAAAATGAATAAACAATTTGAATTCAAAATGAATCTGAACTAACCGAGCGGTTCCGAAGTAATTGATATTGTTATATAAATATATTATGAAATAGAGTATGATGAATGAATTATAGTAATATGAAGTATATGAAGATACTGTATGTTTAGGTGTGAAGTTCAGGAGAGGAACTGGAGGTTGGCAGAGGAAAGAGAGGGCAACTCACCTCCAGTGCTCGTCAGCCCACGATCCCTTTAATACAACCGTATGCAATTTCACCATAATTTCCATATTATATCGGTTCATTTAGTGTCGGGTAAATAAAACATTATTGAAAAATAATGAATTTCCCCCCCAAAATCCCACACTTGATCCCAGATGAGCTAATGTGCCATAGTACAAATATATTCCAGGTCTCTTGTTTACAGAGCGGCCAGAAGCTATACACTCCTCCATAAAAATGTTTGTGGACGATGCTAAGTTATTTAGGGAAATTAAGAACCAAACAGACTGAAGAGCTACAGGAGGATCTCTGTGAGCTTCAGGAATGGTCAAAGAAATGGCTGCTAAGATTCAATGTCACGAAGTGCTAAAGGATGCACCTGGGTCGCACCAACGGTAAGGAAGCGTATCACATGTCCCAACAGGACAAAGAGACTGCATTAATTGAGACCGAATGTGAAAAGAACCTGGGTGTGTATGTTGACAATGAACTTAAGTTCTCGGGCCATTGTGAGAAGAAGGTGAATCAAACAACGAAACTAGTAAGTCTTATAAGAAGGTCGTTTAGATATCTGGATGGTCTGTCACTCGTCACGATCTTTAAAAGTGAGGTGCTTCCCTGTCAGGTCCTCGAGGTACAGTATGCTAGAGAGTGTCAATTGATTGAAAATGTCCAAAAGAGAGCTGCCTCACTGGTACCTGCTCTACGGAACCTCAGTTACCCAGAAAGATTGGAACACCTGCAACTACCTAGCTTATACTACAGACAGCTGAGAGGCGACCTAATTGAAGTGTACAAATATCTCAGGGGGCACTGCTCGATCGAATGTACATACCTGCAGCTGGTGGACGTCCACCACACAAGAGGTCACAGCTCAAGGTTGAAGAAGCTACAAGCCCAGAAAATTGTGAGGGCAAACTTTTTCTGAGTGAGAGTTGTGAACTCATTAGAACAATCTGCCAGAGAGTGTTGTGACGGCACCGAGTGTGAGCTCATTCAAGACCAAACTTGACCAACACTGGAGCAGGTTCAGGTACATTCAGGAGTCAGTGCATACCCAGTACTTGCCAACAGTGCATGACAGAAATGTGACCGACCACCCAAGCGGCTAATGAGCCGATCAGTGGCAAAGAGGACAAAAGGTAAAAGTAACAGCTGATCATTCCTACTTCCCCTAACAATGTTGCTAGCACTCACCATCTCTCAAGCACCATTGTTGTTACCACTCAGAACTTAATAAATATTATTGTAATGTGTTGTGCATCTCCATATGCTCTGGTTTATTCACTGATCAGTTGTCTAACTGCAAAAGTCGCTAAATCTAGCCATCATGTATCAAATAATTTTAAAATAGAATTAGATATTAAATTGCTATAAGACAATGTGCTGTGTAAATGCCTTATCACATCACCGCACCTCCTACCTCGTTACCTCATCTCTCGCCTATCACCTCACTCCTTGCCTTGTCAGCTCACCGTGCAGTGTTACATTTATTTATTACTCTATTATTTACTTTATTATTACTGTACATACATAGAAAAAAATATATATGTTTGCACAGTAATTATAACAAAATTATTTTATGTGACAGCCAAGGCAAGGTGCAAAAACTGAACAAAAGCAAATGAATAATTGAACACAAAAATTCAGAAATTGTCGAACAATGTCAAAATATTCCAAACTCGGTTAATTAAGATTTTTCGGTAATCCAAGTGACCCAGAACCCCTTTTTTGTTGAATAAATGAGAGTATATTGTAGTGACTTTCCTCAAGGTTTGACAAGTGAATCTACGGTAATAAATCTTAGGGGAATTTGAGTGATGAGGAGGAAGATCATGGTGGTGGGTTGGCTTCCGAAAGTCATGTGTCCACTCATGAAGTTGCTACATGGGATTGGAGTAATTCTTTACTTGTTCTCCCGGTAACTGCCTTTGATAGTGTAAACCAGAAATTTGTGGTAAGCAAAATTCAAATATTTTATGATGTCTTCTGATATTATCCCATCTAGTGGGTAATGACCAGAGGGCTGCCATCACCATCCTCAAAGGATTAGTACTTGCTTTGCACTTAAGGTTATAAGGGATGCACTGATAAATCAGAAAAGAACAGCCAAGTTTAGATAGTTGATACAAGGTCTATGTGAGATGAATGACTGTTGGTGCAGAGCCAAGTAAACAAGTAGGGATGCAAAGACACTTTGTCCAGAACGCTTTAATCTATCAACTGTGTTTTGTATTTAAGTTGCCACTGTTTGGACATATTCTAGGGTATTGTACAGTAAAGTTTCTCCCATAATTAATATCCTTGTGTAAGTTTCTTTATGATTATAAGACAAACACTTCACAAATATAGCAAGTTTTGATACATCAATGGTTTAGTGTACAGTACTGGCAGGGAGGTGGCACAAATCCTTAAAAAAATTTCCTTATATTAATGTTGCATCTCCTGTGCCACCAAACATAATGGTGCAACATTACAGTACAGTGTAACTTAATGTGTCAATAAATTGAATATAATAGTTTTTTCTCTCATAATGTTACAGACAGTCTAGTATACATTGCCCTAAGGGATGTGGCAGCACTTTGAGTAACTGGTACAGTGGTGCCAGCCTTCCTGTATCATCCCTGTTGGCCCAGATGGCTATTACATTTTAAATAATGTATGTCACTGAAGTATAGAAATGTTCTTAATGTCTTTATATACAGTCTTATGTAGTCAATTAGTGAAGTGAAATATTGGAAGTTAGCAATAGTTATATATTTTTCCCCATTCCTTCTCCAGAAACTTCTGTAAGATATTTTGTTATGCAAAATTTTCTTCTATATCTCAATTTTTTTTCACACTTTTCTATTCCATTATTGTAATTTTCATAACTTGACCTTCTGTAACTGGAGGGATACCCGTACTTATTTTTAACTGTGAGGTGTTCGTTATACGACTTTAGCTATGTTTCACAGGGGTCATTTCTCTAAACCCCTTATTCCCCATTAGACCCAGCCCCTGCCAACCCAACTGCAGGAGAATTCTCCAATATAATCCCTACAATTGGTGAGGGATTACTGTATATGTAAAATATAAGCTCGTGAACTCCATGTTTACACTCTAGTAATACAAGACCTAACTGAGAGATGTCTGGCATTTCTGTTGGTGATTCTTGAAGTTTATTCTCTTCACAAACACACGCCAACAAGAGTCACAGGGAAAAGCCGGCTTGCAAGGATGTGATACCAGTAGATGTCGCATCATCGCCACTCCTTCATACTTTTGGGTTAGGTGAGGGCAATACGGACATCTGAAAACAAGAAAGAAAGGAGTGAGGAAGTGAAACTCACAAACATGGCCCAAACTTGTAACTGCACGGACATGTTCATTAAGGTGACTAAACTGCAACCTTTTGTCATATTCTAAGGAAAGTACATCCATAAAATTTTCCCAACAGCCACTAGCTCATTGTGTACTACACTTCACTATCAACAAGATAGAAAAATACAACTCATTGTTGATAAATAAATGTGAATAACATCTCTGCATCTAGTACACATCATAATTCATATTCACTTGCCAGCAACTAATACTCTGTTAAAAGACCAGTTCAGCTGCTTGAAGTTTAGTCGTAAACTCATTAAGACCCATAAAGGAGTGCAGAGAAAAGCATGAAACAAATATTACTTTGCAGACATGTGCTTCCCAGCTAGCTTGAGTGTGGAAAGCAAATCATGTCAGGAGTAAGTTTATCACAATATGTGCTCCTGTTGTGGACCCTACTTCACATGCAGGTGATGAGATTCCTGGTTTATTCTCTGGCAATTGTGAGAATGATGATCAGGTAGGTAAAGTGGTCAGAAGTGAAGAACCTCATGAGACAAGGACCAAGTGATGAATACGAAGACATGAGCTATGGATTGTTGTGTACTTACCACCTGATGACTGTGCCAAAGAGAGGAAATATTACATCACCCACATAGATAAACATGTGGTGGTCACCACAAAAGAGATAAATGTAAATAATGAGTCAAAGCAAGTTTGTGATTTGAGATAAAAATGTGGAATTTGTTACAATAGCATTGAAAATAAATTATCTTTAAACAACTTTATACGAATAATCACGATAAAATAATTACACCCACCTTTTACGTGGGGGTTATGTTCTTGAAAATCACCGCATAATTAAAAAAAACGCATAAATTAAACTGATTTTTCCCATAAGGATGCATGTAAATGGTACAGGTTAGGGGAACCATCATGTACTGTACAGGTAACTCACAAATATTATTTTATCTTACTCATTCATAAAGAAAAAACAATAGTAAATACATCATAAATAACACTCACATTGACAACTGCTTGACAAAGGTGGTGTAGGGGAGGGTTGAGGAGGGAGGCTACTGAGGCGGAGGCGAGGGTATGGGCAAGTCAGTGGTTGAGGTAGGCTGTGGTCTGGAGATGCCAGATGTCGATGGCTGAGATACATTGCTGTCAGATTTCTTGAAATATGAGAACAATGTCTTTTGGGTGGGTTTCATTTTCTTTTCTTGCAGGATTTCTTTGTAGCACTGCATAGCCAAAAGTACATTTCTACTAACTTTTGAGCTACAATCACTATTTATATTATCTTCGTCTATAATAGCCAAACCACGCTCAATTAAAGTGAATGCCTCTGTCAACAGCTTTGCTGTTAGAGTTCGAATGACCTCAGGTTCCTCTTTCTTCTCTCCTTCCTCCTCATTTTTCCGCTCTTTTTCTAAGTCAAGCAAATCTTGGGGCCAAAGTTCTTCTTTATGAGTCTAATAACTCCTGCACGTCTTCTAACTCCACCTCTTCAAGACCTACTTTCTTTGCCAAACTCACAATGTTTTCTCTGGTTTTAGACAGATCACTTTCAACACTAAAACCTCTAAAGTCATGCACAAGATGCGGACACAGTTTTTTCAAACTCCATTCATCCACGAACGACTAACTTTGTCCCATGCCTCACCAACAAACATTATAGTCTCTAATGTCAAGAGATTTCCAGAATTCTTTAACAGTCATTTTACCATCATCAGTAGCCTTCACTAAAGCATCAAATGTTTTGTTGAGATAATAAGCCTTAAACGTACTAATCACTCCTTGATCCATAGGCTGAATGAGGGATGTCGTATTCGGTGGAAGAGAGACAACTTTAATGTTTTCACAAAGATCTTGAATTGAAGGTGGATGTCCGGGGGCGATCACAATATTCACGCAACTCATCTTTCAGCTTTGATACAACATATTCACAGAAAAGATTATCAGTAATCCACCCCTTGTTATTTTAAAAGCAATGAACAGGTAAGAGATGTTTAGAATAACCCTTGAGAGCACGTGAGTTTGTGGAGTGGTACACCATCACTGGTTTTAATTTGCAGCCACCTTCAGCATTACCTCCAAACAATAAGGTAAAATGATCCTTAGCAGCCTTAAAGCCCAGTGCTGTTTTTCCTTGCGAGAAACATACTTTCGTGCTGGCATTCTCTTCCAAAATAGAGCAGTTTCATTCAGATTGAAAATCTCCTTTGCAGAGTAACCTCCCTCCTCCATAACACCCTTCAGAGTCCCGACGAACTGCTTGGTAGCCACGGCATCAGCAGATGCAGCCTTCCCACTCATCCTGATGTTGTGATACCCGTATCTTTGCCTGAAGTTAGCGAGCCAACCAGAACTAGCAGTGAATGGTTTCACAGGGCCTTCTTCATCCCTTTGTAGCTCTTCATACATTACGCACACGCTTTTGCCTGGGCTTGCAACATGCTGACTGGTACGTTGCCGTGATTTTTATATTCAATATACGTACTAAGCATCCTTTCCATGGGCTCCATTGTAGAACTCCGAGCATAAGAGGTTTTCGTGCACTTGCAGATGTCCCTTATTGAGCACTGTTCTTTATTTTCTCAGCATTGTCTCAAATGGTATGAACAGTGCCCTCACTTAAACCGAGCACGCGGCCAACATTCGATACACGCTCTCCTCTCTGAAGGCGGTTGATCACGGCTAATTTCACGTCCACTGCGATTGTTTTTATTGCCTTTTTAGCTTTAGGCGCCCCAGAGGGGACAATGGATATTTTCCAGACATGCTCAATGGGGAAAACAGCATTTAACACTAAAAAGATATGTGATAAACACACAAGGCAAATAAACACAGAAAAAGTAGTGCAGATGTGAACTGAGAAAGCGGGAAGCTTGCTGGACGCCGTCACAGTTGTTGTACAGTATACTTCATTATCATCATTATATTCATCATCATTAGTAGTAATAATCTTTATTAAATTATTATCATAATTATTAATAATAATATTAAAATCACTGATGTTGATATGACTAACTTTATAGTCATACTTACAATCACCTCACCAGGCATCACATGCGACTCCGCTGCCAGGTGAATACGGGGCAAATTTAAAATCATGAGCGCGTTGTTTAAAAAATAGGTGCACGTAAATTAGGTTTTGGTATTAATTGAACAATCGCGTTATTCCAAAAACGCTTAAATCAAACGCGTGTAAAATGCGAGGTACCTGTATTTCCATACGAAAGTGCGAGTAGAAGTCATCAGAAGGCACTATCACCAGGTGGTGCAATCTTCTTTACTTTTTACATTTTCCCATCCCTCCACCCTTGCCAGCAACATGAGGCTTGGTTCAAAACTGTTATGAATAAATTAAATCACTGTGATGCACGAGAAATGTAGGTCAAGGTTACGTCCTGTGCCACTGAACCACAAAGGGCGACTGGTGTACTTTCTTTCATGAAATACAATGTCCTTTATTGAGTTTCATTTAACTTATTTTATTTGATATTAATATTATTGATATCCAATTTATAAATATATGTACTCACCTTCCCGGAGCAGCTATTGTGTCAGAGACACTAGCAACTGGACTCTGTGTTTGGGATTCTTCTCCTTGTGAGTTTGGTGATGATTCAGAAGTAGAGGGAAAGACTTCACCAACATCATCTGTATCAGATGAAACCTTCTGAACACCTGCAATGGCTGCAAATCCTCCCACAGACCCAGAGGATTCTCTTCTTGTTCTTCCACCCCCACCTGCTTCTTCATTTGTTTCTTCTATATCTATCAATTCTTTCTCTTTTAAACTTTTGGATTTTTTTTTCTGAAATGTAGTATTATTCTCACAGTCAGGTTCTTCTTTTATGAGTGATAATGGGTTGTTGGTGGCTGTTGGTTCAGCTGATGAACACCTAGAAGATTGACCCTCACCTAGAAGACAAAAAATTATAATTAAACCTGTCCAATTTTCACTACTATTCCTGACATCATTATTTAGAGAATATGGTAGAGTTAGGGTAAGGCAAAAACTGCTCAAAATTGTGTTGAGGGCATCCAACACCATCCCCTCTTACTCACAGTCTCCTTACACATCAGTGTTACTCACAATGTCACTCATCAGTAATTTACCACATTATTTCTGGCTTCTGTGAACAGTTATCATATACACAGTACAATACAGGTATCGCTCAATTTATGAATCAATTAGGTTAACTAGGTTAAAACAGTACCAGTAAATGTGAGGAATAAATAAAAATAATACCAACATATAAGTTACAACAAAAAAATACTGTATTGCCAAACCAGTAAATAAAAGTTTAACACAGTCGCCATTTGCATATACTCTAACTCACCATTGCAACGCAGACCAGCAAGGACGCTACTTCCGCCGACTCCCTAGCAACAACCCCTCCTACACATGCCGCGCCCTCCTCCCGCTCCCCCATGAGCCAGCTAACTCGTGTGCAAACAAATGTATATTCCCTTTATGTGTTCGCCCTTAGGACAGTTATTTCTTTTACTTTTTTTCACAATATGTATATAGGATGGTGTGTACATGTAACTATGTACAGGAAAGATAACTGAAGCAAGTTACATATATCTGCCCAAAAATACGAGATGAAAAACAACTATAACACCTCACAGCTAGTCCCAGTAGCCTGGTGGTTACAGTGATGAGTCTAACCTGGCTACAATGCCGCCAGGAATGTTAACAGACACAAATGTGAAAAGAAAGTTATCTGTTAATATCCATTTTTAACAGGTTTTTGTAATTTAAAACTAAATGTTGCAGATATGACCTTAATAATTTGTAATGGTTGTAGAGTTCAGAAATGGTTACTGCTTAGCTATCTCTGAAGAGGTTTTTAATTTTTCATATTATTTCTTATTTATTTATTTATTTATTTTGTTTTTTTTTACAATGGGGATTAGCCAACCCAGGCACAGGTCACTGACCCACATCAGGGCATGGGGGATAATAATAATAATAATAATAATAATAATAATAATAATAATAATAATAATAATAATAATAATAATAATTAATAATAATTAATAATAATAATAATAATAATAATAATAATAATAATTAATAATAATTAATAATAATAATAATAATAATAATAATAATAATAATTAATAATAATAATAATAATAATAATAATAATAATAATATAATAATAATAATAATAATAATAATAATAATAATAATAATATACCATAAAAAATACAAAAATTAAAAAAAGATCAATAGTGAGAAACAATATACAGTATGTATGTTGTGTTGTCAAAGTAAGAGAAACAATTGAGACCCTGCAATTGTGTGTAAATGAGGCAGAAAGTCAGATCAGCAACCTGGGACTTGGTCTCACATGGCAGCAGGGTCTACCATTATACAATACATTATGCTTCCAATATCTTCCCAGGCGGTAGTACCTCCCTGTTTGGTAGCTGCCTACTACCTACAGCCTGTCTGCTTTACAGACGTTAATCATCTCGGGTTATCATCATCATTACAGTAGTTATAAATTGAGCTTTTATATTTACAATAATTATTATTTTTTAATTAATTAAAAATAATAATAATGTGTTTAAGTAAGCAATAACATACAGTAATTTTAATTCTGGAGTTGAATAAGGTAGAATTTAGCCTACTGGAGACAAAACGGGGGAATTCATTAGTTTACGGGAGACTGTAAATTCACATATAGGACGCAGGCTGATTATTTTTAGCCATTTCTCAGACCAAAAAGTGTGTCTTATTAATGAGCGCCTCGGTTAATGAGATTTCGGTTAACGAGTTACCTACCATAAGATTCTTAACTTCGGTTAACGAGCAATCCCTCGGTTAACGAGTTTCTTACGAGCCGACCTCAACAAGTTTTCGCTTGCACTTGACGGTCAACCAGCTGCAGTATTAGTCCGCCAATACAATAATCGGTTCTAGGGCTTAAATTCCTTACTATTTTAGTAAATATCAAGAAGTTTATACTATTCAATAATTTTAAAAGTTTAATATTAAATTTTTTAGTCATTTTAACAATTATTGAACATAATTGAAGGTAAAGTCACTAGTTTGTGGCGCGCCATCCAGCCTTTTAACACACCAAACAAGCGTTAGTCTCTCTCTGTTTTCAGTGGAGGTAAAATCTTGCTTAAGACTCTCTTCAACTTAACAAAAAAATTTTCCTGTTTTTCCAAGCAAATCATTGGTCATTTTGAAATTTATTTTACATATTGACAATATATAACGCACGATAAAAAACATAAGATAAAAAAAAAATTCTTACGTCCCCAGGAATTAACCCACGATCGCAGGAGAAGGGTGTGGTGTTGGAGATCTCAACTTCTCCCTACCAGGTCAAGCTGTGAGCTGTGTTATTGTTCCTTTTAAAGATGGTTCCCACTAGGGGGTGTCATTGTTACATGTAATGAAGCTATAAAAGTTGTAACAAAAATAATTTCAGAATTCTAATGTGACTTAGAAATAAAGAAAATATAACATAAAACTGTAAAATAAGAAAAATACAGAGCATGTGTAGGAAGTAAACATGTGTGTGAAGGCAGTGGGAGGTTTGCCAAAAGCACATCTGGCTAGTTACTTCTCACATACACCTCTGTGTAAGTTTACTTTATCCTCTTCACCACTGATTGTCACATTAAATTTAAGCTTAGTTCAAAACAACTATTTTCTACTTTAATACCTGTACAGTTTGTTACCTCTGTGGTGCTAGACTACCCCCCTCCCAGTGTGACATCATGGCATATACACAGTGCGGCAAACAGACACACACTCTCTGGCTGACTCGCTGAACTGTCAGCCCACTCTTGGCATGACCCAGAAGGTGGCTTATGAGTGGAAGAAGATATTTTTTTAGCATAAAATTAATCCTATAGTAGTTTATGATGTGCCATATATCATTTGTATTGTTTATTACAGCAGTTTCTGTTCACTTTTGGTGTAAGCCAAATACAAAATAATGAAGGACTGGAACCTATTCCCATTTACTCTATATTAAATAATCTACCTCTGACAACTGAGTTCTGAGAAAGAAGTAGATTTTCTGTATACAGTACAGTACTACAGAATATTTTCTTTATATAATATGGGACTGTCTTTATGTTTGATTTTATTATATTTTTAGTTCATTAGGTAGGACTTTTCCTTTACAGGTACTCTACAGTATATAAAAATATCTATCTTCGTAATAATCGGAGAATTTACGCAGCCACGTTCCCAAAATTCTATTACTCTCAGAACATAATAAATTTTTCCAAGACACTGGAAGAAGGCTTAATAAAGGACTGAAACCCATTCCCATTTAAATCTATCTCTGACAACAAAATTTCCAAGGATGAAGTGGATTTCATGAACATAACCACATCATTGCCAAAGGCATAATTGTATTCGATTTCGTGAAATTGGCCAGTATGCTTTATTCTGCCAAGTGGAATGATTACTGTAGTTATGAAATCACCTTCATTCTTTTAATCTTTGTATTCTACATCAAATTTTATACACAGATATATTTACCAAAAACATCTCAGATGAATTGCTGTACATCCAAATTACCTGAAACTCTCCGGGTTTTGCTTGGAGTGGGTGAGGTTTCTTTTCTTGATCTTTTAGTTCCAACAAGCCGTTCAAAGTCAGCAATACTAAACCCTGAGCTGAAGCTGCCATGTGGCTGCATACCACGACCTGTTATACATTTCTGACCTTCACACAGTGATGAAATCTCAAGCATTTCAGCTGTTCTCATGAAGGATTCAAGCTCTGATGCATCTACTGTAGCTTCTCCTCTGTAATATACAGTAATAGGTACAGTATTTTCAATAAATATATCATATATATATTGTACTGTATGTACAATCACAAAAAACATTGTGCACCCTTGGCTCTGAAACCATCCACCATTATCACTGTGACAGAAGCTGTGATGAGTGTTATCAGATTTCTTGGTCTGGTGTGTCATATTGCATAACCCAATAAAGGTGCAGAATAATCATTTAGTAAGTGTATCATATAGTGCACAGTACACAAGGGTGTGACTGGATTCAAAATATTAATTAATAAAAATGGTAAATATAAAAATTAATTATAACACTGATTAGTAAAATAATATATATATATATATATATATATATATATATATATATATATATATATATATATATATATATATATATATATATATATATATATATATACTTTGATTAATGCTGCCACTTTATTTATTTTTTTAATATGCTTGGCCTCCCGTTGAATCTTTTTTACCTTAAGAATACTACAGGCAACATGTGTGTGAGTCTCTTATTTTTATATACCTGTACTCTGCACACTCAATTTTGAATGCACTCCTCATGCTTTTATTTACAGCCCTGTGGTAACTCCTTATTTGTATTAGTAAATTTTCTAACCACAGTACATATAATACATGCATAGTTTCAGTTTCAATCCATTAAAAGCCAATTGAGAGATACCCTGAAGGGTTCCTTCATGTTCCACAATGGAACATAAAAGAGAACACAACCAACTCTTTTTATTGTCGTTTTAAAGCCACTTTCCACATTTGTCTAGGTTAGCCATGATCACCTGATAGCAGCTTTCTCTACTGAGCAGTCTCTTGCAGCCTCTCTCAACATTTCTTACAACCTTTCCCCATGTAATTCTTGTTTTACCTCTAGATGTCTTTCCCTCCACAATGTAGTTCCTGCATCTCTTGAACAATTTGGTCTCCTCCATTCTCTCCACATGCCTCAACCATCTCAGCCTACCTCTATGCAAAAGCTTGTCAAGACTTTCAATACCCAGCCACCTTCTAAGTTCTAAACAGGGTTCCCTATCTTTCAGTGCCACATGATACATACATCTCATTTTAGCTCACCCAAGCCTGCATATGTCATCCTCTTTCACTGGTCATGTTTCCCTGCCATACAACATCATACTTCTCACACCAGTTGTATACATCTTTCCTTGCACACAGAAAAAGAAGGTCCTCTCACTCTAAGTAAAGGCTCCCTAAACTTCCCCGTAGCCACTTCTGACTCTTGCAACTGAACAGGCTTCAGCACCCCCACTGGCACTGATCTTGTCACCCTGGTAATAGAATTCAGCAACACAGTCCATGGATAAATCAACACTGTTAAGTTTATCTCGTCTTACTAAGGCCATATGATTACCTCCACATACAGTGCACTTATAAGTCAGCAACATCCAGCAGTCTGGCATTAACACCACTGCACCCTTGTGGACACACCATTCACACTCACTACATATTATCATTAAAGATAATTTCATGTGCACATCTGATCACTCTTGAGAAACTCGGTGAACCTCTTATCAACATCTAAAAAATATTTATTTACACAGCTAATTCAGGCTTCACTATGGCATCCCTCCCACTTAGGCTACACAATTGTGCCTTTTAGGAAAAACAACAAAACCTACAGTATGCTATATCCATACAATGTGAGTCAAGACGGCCCACAATCAAACTTATTAGCTGGAATTAACTCCTTTAGCATGCAAACTGCTCCCAGTGTCATACCCATACACAAAAGAAAGTAAACAAAAATAAAATATAAATAAACTTTTTTTTTGGGGGGTGTAAAAGATTTCTAGGAAATAATGTGTAACACAGTTCTATATGGCCCACCTAAGTGGCATAGTGAATGGTCAAAGATTGACCACTTCACCCTTTATGGCAGTGGTCCACAACCTGTAGTTCGCGGGCACCATGGCGTCCACGGAACCATATTATGGAGCCCACAAAGGTTTATTAGAAAATTATAAAAATATTTCAGATTCTGTGAGTGAAAATAATGAAAATATGTAATAACTTGATTCGACTTCAGAGAGAGAGAGGAACTGCCGTTTATCCCGAGTCTGTTGTGTACAGGACGCATGTTTTTACCCCAGACAGGGCCCAGAGGGAGAGAGAACCAGCCTGAAAGAGTAACTGTAAACAGTATGTAACTGGTAACAGGTAGACTTGTGTAAAACTGCAAATAACTGTATATAATTATATGATTTTTTTTTCTTGAAAGTAGATCCAAAGTGTTGGTAGCCTCCACTATATTTCCAAAGGCAAATGTGGCCCAGAGCCTATAAGAAGTTGGGGACCACTGGTTATGACAAACCCCCTTCCTCCATCAATAATAAAATTGGAAAAAAATTATAAGTAATTTATATTTATCCATAACTAGAGTGTGTAAAAATAATAAGAATACTTCTACAGTACTTGTCAGTAGTGGACCAGTTCACCCCAGTACCACTCCAATGGCCCCAAAAAAATTACCCCTTTTCAGCAGAGTATTGTATTAGGAAAAACTTTGATGAGTATTTTCCTCCTGTAGCCATAGTTTAATAAAAATAATATATACAGTATCAGTAAATGTGAGGAATAAATAAAAATAATACCAATAAATAAGTTACAACAAAAAATACTCTATTGTCATTTGGTTGCTGGACAAAGAAATTTGTCAATATGCCTGTACTGTACTGTACTGTACTGTACTGTACTGTACTGTACTGTTGTTTCAATACACACAGGAGACGGCTCAGAACAGTTGAGATCCCTCACTGCTCTTAACAAATGTACAAAGTTTATTCCCTTTTATGTTTTTAACTTTAAGATAATTATATATCTTATTTTTGTACATTTTATATATAAGATTGAGAGTGCATGTAAAATAGTAAAATATAAATAAATAAATATAAATTATATGTATTCACCCAAAATTAGGAGTTGAGAAATAACTATAACATAGCTCACAGCTTGGCCTGGAGTGGTAGGTGGATGTGGTTATTTAACAAATGTGCCCTCAAAAAACATTTGTATACAATTTAGATAAAAAAAATGCAGCTAAAACCAGTAAATAAAAGTTTAACACACTCGCCATTTGCATATACTGTACAGTACAGCACTTCCAGCTTCACCATAGCAACGCAGACCAGCAGGGATACTCCTCCCCCCAATGTGTATGCAAAGAAATGTATATTCCCTTTATGTGTTTGCCCTTATGACAATTATTTCTTTTACTTTTTTGTAATATGTAAGTAGGATGATATGTGTATGTAACTGAGTAAAAATAAATGAAGAAAGTTACTTATATCTAACCAAAGACTTGGTGAACCTATTACACAAGTAACATAATGAGAGGTGTTATACTGTACTGTACATACAACAGGAGGACAACAAAATAAATGTTATAGAACTAAACATGGTCATCATTCTCCAATAAACCGTAAACAAAAACATACTCACGTATAAATGAAATGAATGATGTTGCGTAATTCAGCGAACTTGATATCCCGCAGAAGGACGACGCTCTGTATATTTAACTCACGACTCAAAACTTGACGGAAGTATGGACTGGCCAGACACAAGACAACCTATGGAACAAAATATTTGAAAATGTCACACTTATTACAATTTTGTTGCATTAAAATGCTATTTTTATTGACATCCTACTTAAATTTCCATAAAAAATATTGTTTATTCTTTTAGAAGAGTAAGCCATTAATTAGAACCAGTAGTGTAGCAAATGATATCCTAGATGATATGGCAGTTTGTGGTAGATGACATCTTGGAAAAGTATGAGTGTCTCACTGTTGGGTACTCAAATACACAGGGGAAGGTCCTCAAGATACACTACAACTACACAGGGTACAGTAATATTGTATTTTTACAAATGGAGGATTAAGGCTTGTAGGCCACTTTTATAAACAAAGAGATGAAATGAGTGGCCTAGAAGATACACCAGACAGAGCCTAACACTGTCCAGGAATGGTGGAATACCCCACAGAAGAGAGGTATTAATTGTACAGGCAATATTTTACTGCAAGGTTGACATTTATAAACCTTCACATCCACTGAAATCCAAATTCAGATCTGGTGGCTGTTTTGGGACCTGTGATGTCTCTGGCCAGTCACTGACTCTCAGGACCATGATTATTTACTCTACATTCTTAGGTAGGAGAAAGGAATTAGGGGCCATTTTCATCCCTTTAATCTCATGCATGCTCTGAAAGGCCTAAATAATTAAATAAAAGAAGGTCGTGTCCAGAAAATATCCCAAATATGCAGCAAAATACGAAGCCCATTACTCTATACTCAAGAGTACAAATGAGAAGCAGAAAACTTATGCACTTCCTAGAGCCACACACTCTGGATTAAGGAACTCTTCTTTCAGATACAATAAGCCTTAACATTTACAGGATATCTTTTCTTTTATCCTCTTCACCACTGATCGGCTCGTTAGCCGCTTGGGCGATCGGTCAAGTCTCTGATTACTTTTCCTTTTCTTTTACCATCTTCACCAAAAGATCGGCTCGCTAGCCGCCCGGGCGATCAGTCACGTCTCTGTCACGCACTGTTGGCAAGTACTGGGCATGCACCGGCTCCTGAATGTACCTGAACCCACTCCAGTGTTGGTCAAGTCTTGTCTTGAAAGAGCTCACACTCGGTGCCGTCACAACACTTTCTGGTAGATTGTTCCAAGAGTTTACAACCCTCACTCTGAAAAAGTTTGCCCTCACAGTTTTCTGGACTTGCGACTTCTTCAACCTTGAGCTGTGACCCCTTGTGGGGCGAGCGTCCGCCAGCTCCAAGTAAGGACACTCGACTGAGTAGTGCCCCTTGAGATGCTTATACACCTCAATTAGGTCACCCCTTGCCCGTCTGTAGTATAAGCTAGGCAAGTTCAGGCGCTCCAATCTCTCAGGGTAGCTGAGGTGCTGAAGTGCAGGCACCAGTCTGGAGGACCTCCTTTGAACATTTTCAACCAACTGACAGTGCCTAGCATATCTCGGGGACCAGACGGGGTGACAGTACTCCAGATGGGGAAGCACTTCACTCTTGAAGATCGTTACGAGGGACGAACCGTCAAGATATCTGAATGACCTTCTTATAAGACACAATAATTTATTTGCCTGATTTACCTTCTTCTCGGAATGGCCCGAGAACTTCAGCTCATTGTCAACATACACACCTACGTCCTTCTCACATTGTCTCAACTAGTGCAGTTTCTTCATCCCGTTGGGACATAGGATACGCCTCCTTACCGTTGGTACGCCCCAGGTGCATCCTCTTACACTTCGTGATATTGAATCTCAGCAGCCATTTCTTCGACCATTCCTGGAGCCCACAGAGGTCCTTCTGCAGCTCTTCACAGTCCGCTTGGTTCTTGATTTCCCGAAATAACTTGGCGTCATCGGCAAACATTTGTATGGAAGAGTGTACAACGTCAGGCATGTCATTTATGAAAGAAACAAACAACAGTGGGCCCAATACACTGCCCTGTGGTACCCCACTTGTGACAGGTACGGATGACAATTTCGTGCCATTGATCACCACATACTGCTTGCAGTCATGTAGAAAGTCTTCTATCCACGCTAGGACATTTCCCTGAATTCCTTACCCTTCCAGTTTGATTTTCAGCCTTTCATGGGGTACACTGTCGAAAGCCTTGGCAAAATCTAGGTAAATATTGTCAATATTACCACCCCGTTCCAGAATATGGGTCCAAATATCCAATACCTTGAGCAACTGTGTTAAGCATGAGCGCCCCGGCATAAAACCGTGTTGGCAATCCTTTGTAAGGTTGTTTCGTAGTAGATGTTCCATTGCGGCATCTCTGATAATACTCTCAAGTACTTTACATATTCTGCTGGTCAGGCTCACCGGTCTATAGTTGCCTCAGTTCACATTGATACAACCCAAGGGTCTCTCTGCATAAACAGTTTCCACACCAAAATTCATGTGACAGACAGCCAAGATACAGTAAATTGCAGCTGAACATTAATCAATATACAGTTCCCTAAAATACTGCACTGTATTTAATAAAATATTAACACTGACCAAAAATATAAAAGGTTTTTTCATACATTTACCAAAATGGGTGTTAGTCTAGATATCTGAATGACCTTCTTATATAAGAATTACTAGTTAGTTGCTTGATTCACCTTCTTCTCACAATGGGCCGAGAACTTTGGTTAAGTGTCAACATACACACCCAGGTCCTTTTCTTGTGTTCTGTGTCGGGCTGGACAGATCTGAGGTAATATTTGGGCTGGCGTCACAACTTCTGAACACAAGATGAGGGAGGGGGGGGAGGAGAGGAATGATTGGTACTGTATATGGAACCAGTGTTCACAAAACTGTTTCAGCAAATACCAAATTCTGCCCATTGTGTTTATTTATCATATAGTTCCACACAGATCTATTCAAACAATTGTAACACTAAATGAGATGGAAGGGGTGGAGGGGAGGTGGGACAGAGGGGGGAAGGCACAGTAAGACAACTGCAGTATCAGCCGGCAACAACTTGTATATTTATCCATAAAACAGACCTGCTGTTTCAAGATCTGTCATTACTGAAATATACACAACAAATAAACATCCAGTATATGTAAGAATTACACTTATATAATAGGTTATTTTGGAATACTGACAGTTCTCTACAGGAATGTGTTATCAGATAATTTGGCCCACACAAGAACCATAGGTGTGTAAGAATACTTGTGGGTAACTGTACATGTACAGTGGTGTTTACATAAATAAATAGAGCTCTGTGTCTGTCCATGTGAGATGCATAATTTAGACTCTCAAAAAACTTTCCCAGTACAAGTTACAGTACGTTGAAAGATTCCGGTATGTGCGATTTTTTATGGGGACGAGACAATTTGTCTCCACACCCGGTGATCTTTCAATCCTGGAACTGCTCTGCACTAATTATTCTGGCTAACGGAGATATCACTAGGTATTCTCCTTTGAACCGTCATATGTTTGTATGCCTGCTTCCTAATACTTCAAGAGTATTGAAATGTAGGCAATATATATACAATACTGTATTGTATTCATAAACTATCTGCATTAATAAAATTTAAGTTAGCTAATGGCCCAATTGAAATTCAGCCAGTTCTATGCATGAAAGTATTGCCAGATAATTTGACTCTTTATAGTGGATGTTACTGTACACAGTACATTATGTGGGTGTGAACACAGAAGTTTGTGGGTTACAGGTTAAGACAGTGGCAGGTGACTGGTCTAATCAGCTGCTCTGCTAAAACATCTTATTGCAGCTTTCATGTGTACGTTTAACATGGTGGGTGATCGCACAGCATATGCCTTCATACTCACATGTTGCACAGTGAGGGTGGAGGTGCATTCAAAATTTTTTTTTTTTTTTTAATTTCAGATAAAGGATCCTCGACCTGTATACAAAAGATAAATGTAGGTATACTCTGCACATTGTGTTACTTCTGAAAGAAGATTGGCAGTGTATACTGAGGAAGACAACTGCACGGTTAAAGCTCATCTGTGCTGGAAGATGTTCACACAATTTGGGGAAAATTCTGCACAAGATTCCATGATAGTTAGATGGATATATAATAAATAAAAATAAAATAACAGAGACTTACCCTGTGTGCTCTTAAACTCTGTCCCTCAGCTGTGAGTGTTACATCAGTGTAGGTATCATCTCTAAGTAGCTGATCCAACACTGTTGAACAGTGAGTCTCCTTCTTCAGGAGATATGGTCCAACTAAACCTGAAGTTTAATATATGGTCGTCAGTCATTATCAACACAATATACCTTGAGTGATTTTTGTTTGTTTTTTATCTCAATAAAACCACACATGAAAAGGGATTTATCCTGTCCATGTTTCTATTGTGGATATATATATATAGTAATATTATACAGTAGTAAAAAACATTCTTGTATGATTTTATGTTCCATGATCTCAAACATATTTTATTGCAGTACTGTACAGTAATTATTTTTTGGACAAGGACACCATAAGCATCATGGAAGGGTAAGCACCCCTTGCACACATCCATTCCTGGATCCACCTATGACCTACAGTGCAGAACTGGATTCAACTTGCATTTCTTTTCTACCTGTACCTGTTAAAAGGTACTCTTACCCTTTACTTGATCTTATTATTATGAAAACCTACTGATATCCAGATGAGGTAAGAATCAGATATAAACAAAAAGATGTTAATCAATACGGTAAGTTCTCGCTTAAAGTCGGGGTTGCGTTCCTAAAAATAAGACGTTATACGAAACAACGTTAAGCGGATCAATTTTCCCCATAAGAAATAGATAAAATACAGCTATAGAAAATATTGCATTCATATACTACTACTGAGTTTGTATTGGTACTCATCGATGGGCGGAGGTGGTAGAGCGAGTGGGTAGTGGAGCAGAGGAGGCAGATGGCGGGAGGGAAGGAGTATGGCAGGAGCGGAGGAGGAGGGTGGGAGCGGAGGAGGGTGGCGAGTCACTGAGATGAGCCGAGAGGGTGATGCACCGTAGAATGTATTCTGTGACGACACAAAATGATGTAGTGTCAGATCATCGGGACGTTAAAATTTTTTTTGGTCTCTTAAGTTTAGCGACGTGGTACTGAAACAACGTTAAGCGGGACGACGTTAAGCGCGGACTTGCTGTACTGTACTGGAAGTATTTTTGGCTCAAAGAGCTGAGCACCATACTGTACTGTACCGTACTTTTGCATTTCTTGAAAACAAATCTTTATTTTTTGAAGACTTTGAATGAGTGCACACCGCTATTAATTCACCTGGGGGGGGGGGGTCATAAAATCATTTGACAACTGCTTGACCCAGGGCCTGGAAACTAAGTGAGTATGGAAAACACGTTCCTCACAAACATTAATGTCTATCCAGAAAAAAAATAACTGTCAATTTATATCAACATCAAAATTGTTGGACAAATCTCTTAAAGTGGAAGACCTTGTCAAGAGATAAGCAGTAAATCTAATTGGAAGAGAAAGTATCAACCAATAAAACATCTACAGTATACAACTCATACTACTAGAGTAGAAACTTCACCTTACCGTCCCAATGTTTACAAACGCATACATTTACTGTACATACTGTACTGTATATAAACTAAAATAAGGAGTATCCTTTTTTATCACCATCAGATAAAAAACTCCAAAAACATGCACACATTATTATTATTATTATTACAAACACACATACACCCACACACATGGGCATATTTGCCTATAAAATAATGCATAAATTACTATTACTGAGCTACACACCTTGGTTACTGGGAGTGGGCGAGGATGGTGTACCTGAGGTATCCTGTGTTGTAGTGTCATCCCCAACATCTGAAAGGAAAAGAATGAAATTAACATGTGGGAAAATTACCTCTTAAAACAAAGTAAAGAAAGCTAATACTATCCAGTACTGTACTGTACTATGTAATACATGATTATTAGTTGACAGAAAGTACTGTAACACTTACGGTAATACAAACCCATTTTTTTTTACTTATTACGGTACAGCCAAGATTTGTTGAAGAAAGAAACTGGAAAGAATTTCAAAAAAACAAAACAAAACTGAAATGGTTAAAATTATAACATAAAGGCATCCATTAATGCTCTGAATCAAATGGACTAAATGAAGAAATATTACTAATAATAATTAACAAGAGCAGTAAGAGATGGCTTACTACATATAGTTGCAGAAATGTGTTCCAACACCCCTTGTGGTAACCCGTGTCTCCAAACGGCCAACCTGTATGATCTATAGCAAACCAAATCCACTAATCACATCCGTCGATACACGACCAATACCTATTTATTCAAAAATAACGACACTAGTACTGCGACCAGGCCGTTTGGAGACACGGGTTACTACAGGGGTGTAGGAACATATCCCCAACTGTACCAGTCAACCAACAATTTGCATAATCTGCCACTTGAGAGAGTTAGGCATAAATTCCTCCAAACTTTGATAACATGAGAACCAGCGCCTTATAATGGAGTAAGCTGTAGTTAACCACCAAAAATACAGTACCTTTGTTGACAATAAGCCTGGATGGACAATGCTTTATTGATAATAAATCAAGAAGAACAGTGTTTCCTAGACAATACGACTGTTACAACAGGCCTTTCTTCACAATAAGACTTTAAGAACAGAGTTTTCCTAACAATAAGTCTGGAAGAACAGTGTTTCCTAGACAATACGACTGTTACAACAGGCCTTTCTTCACAATAAGACTTTAAGAACAGAGTTTTCCTAACAATAAGTCTGGAAGAACAGTGTTCTGTTGATAATATGGTCAAAGTTTTTCTGAGAAATGATTACTACCATTTATATTATTGATTCACCACTTATCAGCTTACCAGCTGCTTGGTCTGACTACCTGAATGACCAGTTAGCTGGCCTTTTTTTTTATGACATTTCTAGTCCAGCATTAGTACTGTACAGGAGGAAACCAGAATAGCCAGAATAAAACAAATAAACTGTAGGGTAACACAGGATCCAGGAATAACAAAAGGGGGTCCAAGAAGTTGTGGGTGGGGGAACATGGCAAGCACAGTGAGCCCATCTAGTGCACGGGGGGTGGGCTGCAAGCCGCCTCCCCCTCCCCCACCCGGTTTTATTTTTTATTTAAATCTGACCAATATCATGGGCATTTTGAGGCCATTTTTAAGCCATGTGTATATGATATTAAGAGATATTCTGAGGTAAATAGGAATGACTTTTTACTATACAAAAATACCTTGAGAACAATACTGTACTGCATTAAAGAAAAAGTATTGGAATTCTCTGATAAAAGGAGGGGTCTAGACCCCCAGGACCCACCCTGAATCTGCCCCTGCAGTGTACGACAAAGCCCTGGGTCTGAAAGCATTATCCCCACTTTCTCAACTATCCAGGAAATTTACAGTTGTTTGTAACTTGTCTTTAGCCTTAAAGATGCCTCATATTGGGGCTCTTCTCTGGTGAACAGTACCTTGTACTGTATACTTGTGATGAGTTTTCTTGTGCGTTGGAGGATTTCCTCTTTCTCTTACAGACATAGTGGAGCAGGTGAGACAACACAGTTGAAGGAGCACAACAAGAATAACATTTACAGCGTGGGCGACGTTTTGTAAGTCTTCAAACTGGGAGATAAGAGAACATTGACGTCTGTAGATAAGGTAGAGGGCTATTGCTTGTTATGCTGAGTGGGAGGACAGGGATTAGGATTGGAAGTTCTTTGGTGGCAATTTGGGGGAGGGGGGGAAGGGGGTGGGGGGCGGCATTGGTTTAGGATTAAGGTAAAAGAGGGAAGAAAGAGATTGACAGTATCCGGGCTCAACCAGATATGCGAGGCTGAGGGTATTCATACGATTATGCCGGATCAGAAAAGACAGATCGGAAGTGAGCGGCGCTGCTGATTGGCTGAGGTGAAGGCGGTAACTGGCCAATCACCGCGCAGTCCGAAAGCGAGGCCCGGTCTGTGGAACTCGCTGCTGGTTGGCTGGTAGGCGGACGGCAAGTGACAAATCGGCAGTAGTAGGGGAGAGTATCCACTACAAGAGTCACGTGTGGAAGGCCTGGTTGCAACAAGAGCAATCCAAGCTGGCCTAGTGCACCGAAGTGGTTATACTCCCCAGTAAAGTGAATGTATCACTTGAGGAATTAGGCTCTGCTAAGTCATACTCATAATAGTGTAATTAAGTGTGTGGTACCCAGGTTGAAAATTCCCTCTTTAAAAAAAAAGTGAAGAGGAAGGCTTACAAGTTACAACGCCATCTTCTTTGTCTACTATTAAAAAGCGAGGAAAACTAGCTAGCTAGTTCTGTACGGGTGTGGCAAGGCGCGCTCAGAAATTGACTGTTTTTTAGAAAATTGCTGCAATAAAATGATGGAAAAAGTGCTAGCGCGGCACCGGCTCAAGGCACCACCGTATGTTTCACCTGGTGATAAACATCCTAATGCTACCTGGAGAGATGGTTAGGTTAGGTTGGCGTTCAGCTGATATTTTTTTTATTACAAGTAAACTTTGTATCACTTTTGTAAATCAACATAATTCACGTTCAGTAAGTAACAATAATAAACTTGAATAAACTCTTTTGAATATTAGTACACAAAGTTTTATCACTCCACCGGTGTGGTACAGTGTGCTGTCATGTTGTACACTCGCACCAAAAAGTGTCGGTACAGGGTGAGAAGGACGAGTTCCGAAACGATACGTATACACTGTGATAAGTCGGGAAGGTTGGTAAGTGTATCCTCAAAACCCCTCCCCCCCTCCACTAGGTGTTGCCATATGGCTGACAATCAGGGCTGCCAACATACGGCTGGAACAACTCGCCTATCCCAATACCTATCGTCACTGGTTTCAAATTGTTCACACTACAGTATACACCGATACTTTTTGTTGCGAGTGTACCTTCTCAAACAATAATTTCTTTACACTCCACTTAAAATTATAACAAACCCAACAGTTTGGAGATTCGTTGTAACACTCCGGAGTCTGAAGCGTGTTAAGACTGTACAGCACACAACAGGACCTGCCTCACCTCTACATTCAACCTACTTAGCTTCTACAAGTGAAGGACAATACCAACCCACGTAGATAACAGAGGGTGTGATGGGGGAGTGCTCGATGTGGGCGGCGGGTTCATGGGCGGTAGTGTGAGCTGAGGCGTGGGTGGGTGTGGGTGAGGGCGTGGGCGGTGCCTCCACCAGGCCCACCTCCACCAGGAACCGTTGATGCTTCCTGCTCCTGCAGACCCCGACACATTATTTTACCATCCACACACCTGTAAGTCTCACCACACACCTGTAACTCTCACCACACATCTGTAACTCTCACCACACACCAGTAACTAATTCACCACACACCTGTAGCTAATTCACCACACACCTGTAGCTAATTCACCACACACCTGTAACTAATTCACCACACACCTGTAACTAATTCACCACACACCTGTAGCTAATTCACCACACACCTGTAACTCTCACCACACCCCTGTAACTCATCACATATCTGTAACTCACCACATACCTGTAACTCACTACACACTTGTAACTCACCACACACCTGTAACTCACCACACACCTGTAACTACCCCTTTAGCACTTTACTCAGACGACTTTTCGGTTTAGTTCAACAGCTGAAGACTCGAAAAATGGCGTAATGGAAAAATTAATGTAACTGTACCAATATTTCCCACACCTCGTGTGTGTGTGTGTGTGTGTGTGTCAATCTCCTCCCAGTCATACGATCTCCAAGAATCTGCAATTAATGGCGTCTACTAGAACATTATGAGTGATGGTTAATGGCGTCTACTAGAACATTATGAGTAATGGTTAATGGCGTCTACTAGAACATTATGAGTGATGGTTAATGGCGTATACTAGAACATTATGAGTAATGGTTAATGGCGTCTACTAGAACATTATGAGTGATGGTTTATGGCGTATACTAGAACATCACTTCGTCTACTAGAACATCCATTACCTACTACACACTAGAACATTCGTCTACTAGAACCATGGTTAATGGCGTCTACTAGTTCACGATACTTCAGAATACACTACATTAGAGTGAAATTAAAGAACGCGTATACTAGTCACTTCACGAATATTATCTACTACAGTTCCATCATATTTAATCCAAAGGCGTGTTTGTATTATTTCAGCATCATATTTAATCCAAAGGTTTCAGTCCAGCTGCTCAAATAAAGTACTCCTGGATTTACGCGTGTTTGCATTATTTCAGCATCATATTTAATCCAAAGGTTTCAGTCCAGCTGCTCAAATAAAGTACTACTGGATTTACGCGTGTTTGTATTATTTCAGCATCATATTGGTAACAATGAACCAAAGCCGTTCAAAGGTTAAGTCTGCTGCATCAAATAAAGTACTTACATGATTTACGCAGTGATGAGTTAATCTCTCAATATTTATCCAAAGGTTTCCTGTATCTCTCACCATTATTTCAGCATCTGGTTTCAACTGCTCAAGGGAAACTCTTCAGCCTAAGACTGGTGGTGCTGAACAATGAACCTCTCTACTGTATGAAAATAATCTACCAGCCGTCAACCCATGAGTTGGTTTGCCTCAATTTATACGTTATGGTTCGTATTATATCTATATATTATACAATAAAAACACACCCGGTATTTTATAACTATACTCCAACTATACACCGTAAACAATTATTATGCTTACCTGTTATTAATTATTTCATAGATATTTTCTTATATTATGGTAAATTTAAGCATCATCTAAATACATATCACTGCTTGTTGATAGTTTTGTTGTCCTAGCGAGGTATTATATTGTGAGGCAGTATTCAACAGATGAGTGTCTGTCGTGGTCC